TTTAAGGAGTTGTTTTACCAGTTTCACACCATCCGTGAGCTTCCATGACTGAGTAGGAGTTCAAACTCACCCTTCCTGAATCCTCGTCCATCATTCTGTTCACTCCACCACACTGGGTATATATAGGAATATATCCACAATTATTTTTGTGTCTCCCCTGTGTCTATCACACATTACTTTGAAAGTCTCCTTGGTTTCAAAAATAGTTTTGTTTTTTTGTTTTAATATGGGGAGCAGGCTGTTTTGCCTGCCCAGCCCAGAGTGATGAGGCACGACACAGGAGATGAGTTAAACATGGGTCACACTTTATTGAATGTTAACACAATAACACAACATCCCCTTTCAAAAGGGGGCCTAAAGTACAGCGGAGTCACGCTGTGTGCCTGGGACTGGCCTTGGCTGAGACGCAGGACTTAATTGGTTGAGTTTTGGTAAAATCTGGAATCCCCCCCAAGGTGCAGCCTGAATGAGCCTCCATACTCGAGACAATCCATGCCCCAGGGGACCCCTGCCTCCTTTCCGTCCCGAAACCAGCAGGCATTCAATGCTGCAAGGTGGGATGGCTCACACCCCTATTGGTTGCCCGCTTGAACTCACCTTCAAACTCGTGACTTCCGCCAGTGTCACCATAATATAATCCTCTCTACACTTTCACAATTAACAAAAGGCTAAGAATGGGATGGGTGAAAACACGCCTGCTCCTAAGGCTCAATCAAGGGCAGGCTAAAAATTCCCATCTGGCCATGAAGCAACCAGCAAAGCTCGCTCTTAAACAAGGGTGGGTGGGCCAACTCTCTAATGAAAAAGGTAAGATGGTGAGGCAAGCAACCTTTTAAGGACTTGCCTTAACCCCTGCCCTATCACACCACTTTGTGCTCTGTCCCGTGTGTGCCTCACCTGAGCAGGCAGGCAAAAAGCTCCCGCAGCTGCAAAAATGGCTGCAAAAGGAGCCTTTTGTGAAATACAAACCCAAATTGCTCTTGGGCACAAGAATTTAGTTATGCCATTGCTTGGATGTTCACCTGTGTTTTAAAAGTTTTATTTTTATAGTTAAATGCAGCATGAGAGAGGCTATAATAAGCTTACCCTTTGTGACACTTCTGTGAGATTGGGTGTTTATAGCAATAGCTATAGTTCACTGCACAGAAGTTGAAGGTTCTGTAATATATAAATGCAGTTGGTTTTGCATTTATACAGTGGTGCCCCGCATAGTAACGCTAATCCGTTCCAGGATTAACATCGCTATCCGGAAACATCGCTATACGGAAAGGAAAACCCCATAGGAACGCATTAAACTCTGTTTAATGCGTTCCTATGGGGGGTAAACTCACCGGTAAGCGAAGATTCCCCATCCGGCCGCCATTTTCGCCGCCTTGGTAAGCAAGGACAGGGCACAAAAACGCTGTGGGTGGCCATTTTCTGCACTCAGTGGCCATTTTGGAACCGCCGATCAGCTGTTTCCCTAACATCGCAATGCGAAGATCGGTAAGCGAAACGCTTACCGATCATCGCACTGTGATGTTTTCCCTATCCAAAACATCGCAATGCGATCACATTAGTGATCGCAAAAAATGCGTCGCTATGCGGATTCGTCGTTAAACAGTGCGCTCATTAAGCAAGGCACCACTGTATATTATAGAACCTATTTACATAATGTTGAAGTTACTTCTCATAAATACACATTTATTTATACCAATACATTAGCTGTTTGAGAAATGTGAAAATTCCTGTACTGTAGAAGTACCTGTGCCTAACTGCTAAACAGGATGAAATCTATTTGTTCTCATTCTCAGTCTCCCGTATAATGAATTTTTTGGTGGTGTAAGTGGACTAACAGTAGAACAATTCAAAAAAATCAATGGATTTCCAAATGCTTTCTGGGGATGGGGTGGAGAAGATGATGACCTTTGGAACAGGTGAGTGTTCAAACAGTAGGTGGGATAACTTCTTAAATGCAAGTGAAATTAAAATTATCTGCCGTTAACACTGAAATAAAAGCTTGTTTAGCTGTGCTGGAGCCTCTTGAATATGAATGTATTAAGATTAGAGATGCGGGTATTCCTATATGAATATCCCCGCACAGCTGGACTTAACGAGGGACTGTCCACTCATGTGTCCTGTGGTGGCAGTGGCCTTGCTCATCCTTCCAATCACTCCCAGAACGCCACTCTCTTCCCACTTGGCTAGCTACTTGGCAGCCATGCAGGGACACTTGTTCTCCCTCCCCCTGCCTGGAGTAGCTAGGTGAGCGGGAACAGAATGGCACTCCAGGAGTGATTGGAAGGATGATTGAGGCTGCTGCTGTGGCCAGACACATGAGTGGACAGTCTGGCCCCAGGGGCTGGACCCTCATTAAGTCCAGCTGTGCAAGGATACTCGTATTCGTATATGAATACCCCATCTCTAATTAAGATAACTGCCTGATACTAATTATTATAATTTAAGCAACATATGTAAGTTAATTTTTTAATTTTTTTGACACAAAGAGAATAATTTGTCAGAAGTCTAAATATTAGTGGTTGTAGTTATTGGTACTGTTTCTTCTTTTAAAGGACTCTGAACATTTATTTAAACATGAAATATTCCAAAAATGGGCAAAATTTATTTTAGTTAAAAATCAGCATGTAAAGAATTGATACATTTAAAGAAGTTCCTTGTCCATGTTTTAAAATGTATTTTTGGACCCAATAATTCTGCATTTATGCAACAAACTCAGAAATATTGAGAAACTCCTTTATTCTTCTGAGTATCCTCACTGTATGTTTTTCAAGTTTCCACGGCTTTGTTAGTTTGAAGATTTGTAGTATCTTGCCAGAGCTTTTGAATGTGGCATTTATTTGTTAGGCTACAAAAATATTTCTGTGCAGGTCAGCATTATCAAAGAGTCAGTACCGTTGCTATCAGATGAAAAGTGAACCAGTTTAGATTCCGTCTCAGTTATTTTTTTAAAATTAAGATATAATCATAGACAAATTCTGTGTTGTCCTCTGTTGTTTTCCAAAAATCAAATAACTCAAATGTGGAACCCACTGGAACTTTATATTACAAAGTTAGAATTCATAGCCCCCAATGCAGTGAGAAATTTCAAAAAATAACGGCACCTATGGAATCTACTTTGCAATTCATAGCCCCCAATGCAGTGAGAAATTAAGAAAATAACGGCACCTACGGAATCTACTTTGGCTTCCATCGTGACAAACTACAACTTCCTAGTTTTAACAATACAATCTATTCTAAGCCCAAAACAAGCTCACACCCATAAACAACCGGGAAGGTACACTCCTAAATGGTTTGATAAGGAATGCTCCCATAAAAAACCCAACTTAGAGAAATATACATGCAGTATAGGAAGAAGAATCTGGCAGTTCTCCACCAGGAGTACTATGTAGTTAAAAACCAGTATAAAACCCTGATTGCCCAGAAAAAGAAACAATCAGTTCAAAAACGATGGAAAATCTTGATAGACTCTGTGCTAAACAAAGATTCTAAGCTATTTTGGGCATTGGTCTCTGGAGCGCTAGGTGCTCAAACAGGATCAGTTTGCTGTAGTATCCCAGCGAATATATGGAACAGTACTTTGCCAAATTATTTGAGGAAACTAAACCCTCACAAATGGTTAACATCATATCCTTAGATCTAATCAAATTGCCAAACTGGGACCCAGTAACCAAAAATGAAATAAGGCCATTAATAGTTTGCCTAAAATCAAGGAAGGCACCGGGACCCGATCTAATATCAGCAGAGTCTTTAAAGACCAATGTAGACTGGTGGGCCCCCCTTTTATCTCATCTGTTTACATTCATTAATAACACCGGGCAAATTCCATACTCCTAGTTAGAGGCAAGAGTGATACCAATCTATAAGAAGGGGAACAAAGACGAACCCTCAAATTATAGATTAATTACATGGATGGAGTAGGAGGATATCTTAGGGAACGAACAGTTTTAGGAAGGAGGATATCTTAGGGAACTGGTTTTAGGAAGAACCACTCCACCTTTGACCACTGTATAGTACTGAATCACCTTGCAGAGAAGTATATGGGCTGTCATGGGACTGACCTGTTTGCAGGTTTTATAGATTTAAAGTCTGCCTTCAACTCAATACCCAGAGGAAATTTATGGGAAAAACCCTACTCTTCCTTGATAAGAGGCTATTATGTCTTATCAGAAGCCTTTACCAACAACCACATTTAGGGTGAGATGTGGAGTTGATGGGAGCCTATCAAACCCCATTCAGGCAGAGAGAGAGGGCTTCACCAAGGTTGTATTCTGGCACCTACATTATTTAATCTGTACCTAAATGACATCCCTAAAAGTTGCACAGCACCTGAATTTCACCACTCCCCGAAACTGGCTAAAATCAATGTGCCCCTATTACTATACACAGATGATGCTGTTATCATATCACTATCGGAAGTTGGTTTTAAATGTATTCTATGTGCATTTATGAGTTACTGCAGGAACAACCTATTAACACAGAGTGCTGTCCTCTGAAGATGCCAGCCACAGAGACTGGCAAAACGTTAGGAAGAACAACCTTCAGAACATGGCCAAAGAGCCCAAAAAACCCACAACAACCATTAGATCCCGGTCATGCAAGCCTTCACAAATACAAACCTATTAACAATTAACTTTGAGAAAACCAAAATAATGGTTTTCTCTAGGCATAGTAAAGTTAAAGAATGG